TATTTTATATATATATATATATATATATAATAAAAATAACATTTGGTCGATATATATAATCCTGTAACAATAAATGCCTCCTTATCAAATTACAATTTGAAGATTGAAAGTTAATCGAGATCATCGGAATGATATAATTTGATAAAATAGTAATATCTTTTCAATGATTTTACAATAAGTGTTAAACTTTATCGTTAAAAAATCAGTACGTTTTCTTTTTATTCTATTAATTTTTCTTATTCTTTCATTCACATCAATTTGTAAGCGAGATAACTACAGAAGATCTGTAATTCTTGCACTGTAAAATAATTGTTCTACATTTATCAATATTCAGCTTCTATATAAAGAATATCACTCATATTATATATTATTCAACAATAATATGCTTACGCTACAACAGCCCACAATACAATCTTAATCTCAATGTAGAATTGGCATTAAATTTTATTGAATCCTATACAGACGATAATTCGGTGTTTAAAGTAATTCAATTTAACTACAGCTATAAATTCATTCATTTCTGTTACTGTAATGTGTGTCATATGTGTATCATTATCATCATACTTCGATGTAGATCAGCTTTCAACTGAAAAAGAAATTATTAATGTTTAATATAAAATGTAATGTTTTGTTATCTGTATTATTCTGTATATTAAGATTACTTTGTAGTTGATCTCCTCGATGGTTCCGAAGCAGTAGGAGGTGGCGGAGGTCCTCTACGTGCCAATTCCTCTAGATAGCCCATTAATAATCGAGTCCGTTCGGCGGCTGCAGCCTCAAGCACGAGAAATCTGCGATCCTTTCTAAGAATTTCTTCAATCTCTGCTAAATGCGAGCTGTTCTCTTGAACTTTTTTGTACGTTTTGTCAGTGATCAGTTTCGTTTCCTGAAAAATCATACTTTCGTGAGCAACATGTCGAGATTTTAATATATATTTAATATATTACGAGTCAACGTACCTGTAGAAGTTCCCTAAAATCAGCTTTGGCTGCGACGAGTTTGTCCTTGATGTATTCCTTAAACTCCTTCTCACATTTCTAAAGTGATAAAAAATATATAGAATAAATATTAATAAAATCTTTTTATTTTTAAACTAATAATTACATACTCGATCGCTAGAAGAAAACTTCAAATATCTAGGATCGTCTTTCAATGATTTCTTAATGTCTTTCCAGGATGCCGTTAGCTCGGTCGATGCGCCTACTTCGTCGAGCAATTCCCGAAATTTATCGCGTTTCTTCCGTCCCAATTGTTCAATATGTTCGTTAAATAATCGTTCTTTTTCCTCACGATCTAAACTTTCAGCCAACTCCCATCTATGATCCTTCCTTAATTGTCGTTTTGCTTCTCTCCATGCCAGATCGCCGTTTCTTACCTAAAATCGAGACATTGAAAATATTGCGATCATATTAATTTTTATAGAATATAATTTAAATTAAATATAGTATACCAAGTCAGCTAGGAGAGCGCTGAAATGTTGAACTGCCTCTGTATGACGATGATGCTGTCTCTCCTTATCTCTATCGCGAAGATGTGTAGCTAAAGTCCTTTGCACTTCTCTCTCTCTTTCTCGAAGACTAACTTCCGCTCGTCTTTCACGTTCCCTTTTCTGTTTCTCGCGATCCTCCTCCGAATCGGAATGGTCATCTCCCTCTTCCTTCTAAAGTGAAAAGAATAAGATAAAGATTTTGCAAAAAAATATCGAAACAAGTATCGTTTTATTATGCTTACGTCATTCTCTTTTTTAACGCTTTTGTCGTCACTTTCTTCGATTTCCCCGCTCTCTTTCTCTACCATCATCTCCTTTTTTTCCTTTTCATTTTCCTCCACGGGTGCTTCGCTCTTTCGTTGCTTCTTTTCCCTTGTATTATCTTTGTCACCTTTGTCCTTGCTGGACTTTGTCTCTTTACCTTTGTCGGTATCCTTACGATCTCTATCCTTCTTGTCCGCCTTGTGATCTTTCTCTCTGTGCCGATGGTCTTTGTCTTTCTCCTTTTCCTTTTTCCGCTCATCCTTCAGCATGCGAACGTAATCTCTAAACCAATCTTCCCGCGTGCTTGCCGATTCTACGACTCTGTACCTCCAATCCGTTTCCAATTTTTTCTTACAATCGCTCCAATGCGAATGTCTGTCGATGTCTTTGTGCTCACGTAGCATCGCAAAGAATTCCTTTTTCACCTGAAACGCATTTAACATAAGAGTTTTCATTGCTGAAAAACAATCACTGTTTGCTTATGTACTATTATACAATTCTTTTGCTTTTAAGATTAAATTTCTTAATTTTTCTTGGCTCTCTTATATCATGCACGCTTTAATATTTCCAACCAAATATTACACGCTCAACCACATTACAATCACTTTTATAAACATTATAATATATGTATAATGATCTGTAATGTGGATCAAACTATTTCAACTTGCAAACCTTTTAAATGGTTTTCAAACTATATTTCGTTAGGGGTAGAAGAAATAGTCATTCGTGTTCGTTCGTGTCAGGAGGTGTCACAACGTTAAGGACTCTATTTGTCGGATTTTTTTTAAATGAACTAAGCTGGTCATTTTTTTGGCTGAAAAAAATTATTAATTCATTATTCCTGCAAAAATGATTATTATGATCGTCATCATTAAATATATAATATTTTCTTGAATTAAACGATACATAATAATTCAAATTTTAATTTTTTAAAATCATTGTATGTACATTTTATGTACATGATGTATTATTATGATGTATTTAATGATGACTGATTATGTAAGATAAATAAATATTTAACTGCCGCCCTTGCTGAAACGAAAAAATATGGTTAGCACATTATCATTAACTTCGAAAACATTAGAAGCTCGCAGCCGTCCAAATTACGAAACGAGTTTCTATCTAATTTCTTTTTTTTTTCTCCTATTCACTATATTCTGAAATACCTCACAGCGTCACGTATCTTATAGCACATCGCACCGTTTATAAAAATTGCACGCAATTGTTTTCTTGATATTTTTCTTGATGTTTTTCACGTAAAAAATAACATAACATGTAGATTATTAAACTAATGCTTACTAAAATGTTAAAATAAAGAATGCATCTCTCTTTCTCTCTCCCCTAAACCTCGATACTTTTCACAATACTGAAAGCATTAAACGAACAAAATTAGATATCTCAATTATCTGATTTATGCAACGTGTGTATGTGTAAATTCGAATGTCATTTTATAAAACAACTTTCTTTCTAATATCCCCATTGCGTAATTTGTAAACGACCAAAAATAAATTGTGTAATATTTCTTGCTGTATAAAAAAGATTTAAATATATTATTGTAAAAAAAATCAGAAATAATTACAGTTCATACCCTGGCACGTTTTCGTTTTAAAATTGCACATAACATTCGTTACTCCGATCTTATAAGGATTCTTAAGGCACCAAAAATACTATGACTGCTTAAGTTTACTTTTTTATCTTATTCTTTCTGACTGAAATTAATATAAAAGTCTATTTGCATTATTAGAATAAAAACAATTAAAGTTTTCAAATGCGTATGAAATAAATACTTCATAAAAATGCAAGTCATTTATTTTATGCCAAATCTAATAATTTCGCAACTCTGCATCTATAATTTGTTACGATTCTTTAAAATGTATCACGATGAAATTAATTTCTGTTTATATATATATATATATTGTAGCCGACAATAAAAATTGTTTATATCTTAAAGTCGACTTAAAATTACTTAAAAATTTCATGTGTTTCTATACATCAAATTTGATGTATCATGTATTGACATAAGAACAATAGAAAAAAATATGATTTTAAAACAATAATTTATTTTCTTTTATAAATTATAAGATACTTTATTCAGTGACTCATATACGCAAAATATAGAACAGTTAATTTCTTGATCAACAATATCTCGTACGAAATATACAGAACAGATAACATTCAAAAGCAAGAACAAAAATCAAGAACAACAAATTGGAAAACAAGATTGCAAATTAAATAGTTTTTTATATACTTAATGAATTTGTTTTTATGTCCATACATTAATATAAGTTTTATGGTAGCATTAGAATCGAATCTGTAATATTTCTCAAATCAAAATACATAAATTCTGAGAAACTGTTGTACTGACTAATGCTACCTTGGGCCTTTTTTTCTTCCAAATAAATTAACGTGTAAATATTTTCTTTTTCTCACACTGATTTTTGATTCTGGGGAAAAGTTAATTTTTTGAAGTAACGAGGATTACGAGTAATATACAAATACCGAGTTTGTTCATTCTCATGACACTCTGCTTTGAAGTAAAGAATGCGGCGCGCGAGGGTGTGCCAACAGTGACCCGCAGAGAAGGTGGGAATGGTAGATGACATCATCCATGCCACCAACCAGCTTCAGTACCAAGCCACTCCACATACGGAACCTGTCCTGCCTGCATCCTGACTGAAGTGGAGAGTTCAGAACACATAAGTATATAAGGAACCGTCACATACTAAGATTTTATTCTCTACATCGCCCATCTTAGAGCTACAAAAACTTTTCGATTTCGTTCGAGCAAATCTACTGGAGTAGAGAATTATTATTAGAGAAATATCTCCTGGTATATGTGTTCTTCAGCCGTTATAATTTTAGGAATTCGTACTATCTTACAAGTGGAACAAAATAATAACATACCTATGAAACCTGAAAAAAATTAATTAATTATCGCTGTAAAAACATAAGTTTTGTTAAACATTCCTAAATATATCATTTCCTACATAGAATTAAAAACGCTTTGCTTTTCTATTCTTAATTTGTTTCTTATGCTATCGCGCATTGCAAAGCCTCGCTTAATAAGGGGAAACAATTCTTATTGAAATTAATGAAATAATGTAATTATATAAGCATAAGAGCAAGTGCCGAATAAATATATTCAGCCCATACGCAATGTACTTAATGTGTGCTACATTTACATGCTGCTTCAAATATATTCTTTGAGCAGCATTTATAAAATAATTTACTATAAATGAACGACATCAGCCTGGAATAAAAGGAGAAAGATTTATTGGATTAAAGGTAAGAGTTAAAAATAGGAAATGCAGTTCTTGAAATATAAAGGACTTTTAGGTATAATTTTAGTTAAAAACATATTCATATGAATTTAATAAAATAATTTTAATAGATGATCAATCATATTCGAATAAAAGAAAAACAAAATTCTTATAAATCTTCGAGTTCAATTGATGAAGAAATTAATATAATATTAACTTGAAATATAAATTTTAATTTTCATTAACTAGTAAAAAATAAAAACTGATAGTAAAAAATTGAATCAATTAAAATATATTAATCTATATTAGTGAAATTGTTCAAATCTAAAATATTTACTTCTATATCAATTTACTTATAACATTAAAAAATATTAGTGTACCTAAATCCTTTATATTTATTAATATATACTTCTGATGGAATCTTAGAGGACGGGAATATATAGCTAAAACGTTTGTCTTACTTGTGTCGAACATTGAAAATATAATTGTTATATAAAATGCATATCCTGAAAAATATTTTGTGCATTGCCACACAATGCGCGCGCATGTTCTCTCAGTAATGTTAATAAAATAAAAATACCTGTTCTCGTTTCGCTGTTTTTTCCTCTTTTTCCCTCTTTCGCACTTCCAGAAGATATTCGTTGAAAAGGCTTTCTCGTTCGCGCATCTTTTCTACATTCTTAAATCGTTCATCTCTGCCGTGTTTTTGAGCAAAATCGCTAAACGATGATCTATACACACAAAAGAAAAATGCAGAAAATTTATAAGTCAATATTTTCTGTAAAAACGGATAAAACTGCTAAATTTTTACACACGTACTTTCCATGAAGTCCAGCTTCTTCTAAGAGCTTTTGGAATTGTTCCTTTCGTTCTTTCATCTTATTCCTCTTTTCTCGCCTTTCTTCTTCCGCTCTCTCCTTCACGTATTTCTCGAAGACCTGTTTCCTTTCTTTCGACGTTAGAAGTAGGTAGCGCGGATCAAACACTATTTTATGGAGTTCTTTTTCCCAAGTACTGAATGCAGATACCTAAAAACGCAATAATCCAAATGATTCTTGGTATAAAATTATATTATAAAATAAATAAATTACAAAATAAATAATTCACAATGAAATTTACATCTTTCTCTGCAAGCATATCCCTGAACGACTTGATTCTCGTTTCCAATGGAACTATCGCCCTTTCCCTCGCTGCCCTCACCTCGGCCTCTATCGCAGCTTCTTTACCTATATCGATTGTCCCCTTCTTTCCTTCCTTCTCTTCTTCTTCCTTTATGGGTGTGGCTGAAATATAAAATGTGGATTTAATGTAAAATGATTAATACAATCACATTTATCTCATTTCAAAGTAACAATTACTTTTGGTATCATCGTGTTTTATCTTCTTTGCTGGTGTGGGTTGATCATCATCGCTGCTCTCGCTAGTGTCCGACTGACGTACTGGTTTTGTAGCAGCAACCGCATCCGGTGGCGTCGATACCATTTTGTCTACATCCTGACGACCAACGAGATCATCTGGCCTTTCCCAGACTGATATTCGCGAAGAAGGATTGTAAAAAAATACCCGTCCGTCTCCCGTCCAAACAACACACCTTCACAAATATATTCATCAATTCATATTATAAACAATTCATATTATAAATGCATTATGGGTGTCAATATAAAAAAACATGTATCTAAATATACCATGGAGTTCCAGGCACTGGCGTACTAGAGATTGGTCTAGACTTGTCTTGAGGCTTTGCAGATTCCTTCACAGCATTTTCCTCTTTCTTCAGTTTAGTGCTATCCGTATCTTTTGTACTATCTTTGGTTTCATGAGCGTTCTCTTGCGGTTTCTCTTGTTTGATAGGTTCTATCGTAGTGCTGTTATTAGTAACAGGAGTAGTTGTAACAGCAGTACTAGTTGGGACAATAGTAGCTTCCTCATTTTTCTGCCGTAACGTTAATTTCGCATCTAACGAAACGTTTGAGAATATAATTAGATTTAAGATTTATATTACAAAAGTATTATATATTTAACTCGTTGACCGTCGCAATGTTATCGAGTATTTATTATTACAAATAGAACATACAGCATAGTCAATATATTAAAAAAATTACATATTACATACTTTCCAGATCCTTCAAGGCTTGTGGTTTCTCCCATACTGATTCTCCTGCCTTACTGTTATAATAATAGAATCTACCGTCCGGTGCACGATGCTCAGTCCAAACCATAGCAGCTGCTACTAATTCAGAATCAAGTTGTGCAAGTATAGCAGGATCTTCAGCGGGCGCTTGAGGTGCCATTACACCATGCGGCATTTGCGGCATACCTGAAAAAGAATGTAGATTCATTATCAATTTATACAAATTATAATTTTTTTTTCCTATTATATTCGTCGGCATTTTAAATTACCCCAATTTGCTTGTGGTGGTCCATAACCGCCAAAGGGTTGAAAACCAGGTGGTGGCATTCCAAAGGGTGCCGCTCCGAATTGTGTGGCGATTGGACTACCAAACTGATTTGGCATTCTATGCTGCATGGGGATCATGTTTGGCGGCGGTTGCATCATGTTCGTATTTACCGCCGGTGTATTTATTGGCGGTGTGCTGGTAACCGTTGCGGGTGCTGCGCCTAATATTTAATTTCTTTTTAATTTTTTTAATAGCAATGCTTTATTGTAAACTTAGAAAACTTGATCACTAAGTTAAACGCATAAAACGTAAAAAATATTTAAAAAATTAAAACAACATTAATATATCAAATTACCGTTTGACTGATTAGTCTCAGCTGTTTGATTACTGACGTCTGGTGTGTCATTCAATGTAGGCGGTGGTCCAGTACCAGGGGGCGCCGTACTTAATTGATTAATGGCATCTGTGCTGTTAGAGGACGATTGTTCACCACCTTGAGAGATTCTGTTTTCATTAATCTGAGTCGGCGTATTACCCGACGGAGTAGGCGTAGTAGAACGCGCTGCCTGTTTGATGCACCGTGTACCAACTGTTCTAACTGCAAAATCATACAATGTATCTTATTAAAAATTTGTTGTGTTGAATTAATCTTGTTAAATTTTGTCTAATCTGTAAGAATGCAAAATGAAATTACAAACGTATTGCCTGATGGGTAAACTTACCGATGCAACTTTTTATGTGTGACGTTACCAATTCTTTGATACACAATTCTTTACTTATACTTCGTTCCCTTGTCTGCATTTTATGTGTGTCGCGCAGAAGCACAATATAAAATTAATAACGACAAAATAAAATAATTACAATTTTAGTATAAAAAAAAATAATGTATGACACTAATCAATTTGTAGTCGGTGGGTTTCAGGTTTAGTCATATCTTGTGAGTTATATGTTTTACAATAAATTGAATAGAATTAAAAATTATGAGTGAAGATTTACAAATATAAATTATAAGTTGTAAATTATCTCAGGAACTATAAATTATTCTTTTAAACTACAACCTAAATGTTATATACCAAAGTGCGTAAAGAAATAAAATTATTTGCAAACAACAGAATAATATTAAGTTGTTACAAAAATAAGAATCTAGAAAAAAATTTACTTACTTGATCTTGTACCATGACCTTCACATTTGGTCCCTCCGGTTTAGTCCATGTGGTATCTCTCGTACGGATATTGTAATAATACGATTTGCCGTCAGCTGCTTTTGTCTCTACCCACACTTCTCCGTTGAGATCTAGACCTGGAATGTTTGCCTGTTGTTGCGCTTGTTGCGGTGGCTGTTGTCCTGGAATCTATGAAATATATTTCATTTAGGAATGCATTCTTAAAAATGTATCGTTTAAATTTTTAATTAAATTTGTATACTTTGGTAAATAGATATATTTTAATGTTTTTTGTTTAATTTTATACATGTCATTATATGATTATTGCTATCTTTTATAAAAAAAAATTAAGTGTAAGTAAAAGTTTACTCTCTGGAAATTATTAGATTAAAAATGGATGTAATGACAGGAATAAATAAAATTATTTTATGTTACATGTAACTTACGCTGTTCATGTTAGGTGGCCCCATTCCAGGAGGTGGCCCATATGGCCCTGGTCCTGCACCCATAGGACCATTCATCATATGTGGTGGTGGCTATGAAAATAATTATATGAAAATAATCAGATTTTTAGAAATCAATGCAATTTTATAATCACCAAAGAATTCAATAATATTTACCATTCCTGGAGGCCCCATTAGGTTTGGAGGGCCCATGAGATTAGGTGGTCCCATAGGTCCCCAGCTAGGATCAAATGGTGGCGGTCCTCTAAATCTTGGTCCTGCTGGGCCAGGTGGACAATTTGGCCTTGGTGGTCCTTCAAAGGGAAATCCATTGTTTGCTCCACGAAACATTGGTCCACGTGGTCCAAAACCTCTACCTCGAAACCTTGGAGGTCCACCACCTCTCATAGGGAAATCAAACCCACCTCTGCCACGACCCCTTAAATTATTTTTAAATGTTGTGACTAGATACCTTATCGTTCTACCATGCCACTTAGAGGAAGGAAGATCAGAAGTATCTCTCCAAATCTTACTTGGCTCTTAGAAAAAAAAATAAAGAGGAGAAAAATGCCACGAATTCGATCTGCTCTCACATCGGGCGCCGCGCATACTTGCTTCTACAGAAAACAACATTACTTGCAAAGAAATTGTATCGTTAATATTAAATACCACGTCTAAGACGTGAAGGGCCTTTGACATGAAGGCCGACGTTGGTCCAAAGATAAAAATAAAAATAAAAAAAAAAAAAAGTCGGACAACTGTCATTCTTCGAGACTTCGATGAGGATCACGCGATGTAGTGATCGGGACACCGTCGACCCTCGAATCGGGAGGAATCATTATCATCATTACGAGAAAAACAATACGGGAAAGAGTACGAAGGGTGAAGGGTGATGACGCGAGGGAAAGGGGAGGGGGGGAGAGAAAATAGCGCGAGTCACGGCGACCACGGTGACGGGGGACGCGGACCCGCGTCCACGATACGCACCGAAATCCACCGCGGCCGCGCGGCATAAAATGCCTGTAATCATCGCCCTCGTAGTTGTACTCCTCCGTCTCCTCCATGGCCTCGTCATTGTGTTCCTGCTCGCTGGTGGAGGCGGACTCAGTGGCCGCGATCGCGGCCGGCTGCTCGCTGGTCGCGTCCATCCCAATGATTCACGAGAGGGTAGTGAAAAGAACCACAAGCCTGAACAGGGCGCTTCGGTTCACACGCCCATTCGCTATCGGCCTTCCCTCGTTATCGAGTTCCTCTGGCAGATCTTCCTCGCCTGGCAAAGAAAAAAAAACGCCGCGAACAAATTACTATTCTACGGGATACAGGCCGTAAACACACGTCGCTGCCAACGTACCGTGAATTCCCCTAGGGGGCCGTCGTGGCAGAGGGTGCTTTCCATTTAGTGACACAAGTCGACACAAGTATCATTTTGTCCTTGTTAATCATTGAAAGCCAAGAAAGATAGAACGATACTTGGGTCGACTTGTGTCACTAAATGGAAAGCACTCAGAGAGACCCGTGAATCTCTCAAACCGTTAGTTTTTCTGAATAATAAATCACGACTATTGGCCATCGACACTTGTCACGTGCGCGAAAATGAAACGGCGGTCGTTTAGTAGGTTACACGACAATTTCCATAAAAAAAGAGAGGATAATGTTGATAGTAACAAAAACCCTTAGCAACACAATTTAATTTTTGTGGATTGGTGATACTGTGTAAGTAGTAATCTGTATAGTTGCAGAAGACTTTTTGACATGTGTGTATATGCATTGTCATATGACGTGCATATTTTCTACTATACAGTTACTACTTACACAGTATCACCAATCCATAAAAATTAAATTGTGTTGTCTAAAGATTTTTGTTACTACCAACATTATCCCCTCTTTTTTTATGGAAATGTAACCGTGTAACCGTTTAGCAGCAGATTTGTGAATGTTTTGTGCTGATTATACTTTCAGGTCTAGAGAAATAATTTTATTTCAGCTCGGATCTAAAAGTATAAACCAATCAGCGCAAAATGTTTACCAAGTTATTTTTCTATTGATGCAACTATTGAAATTTTCGAGCTTGGTTTAGTACTTTTCGTTTATTGTATCATGTCAGAGTAGCGTCGCAGACGAATATTTTTTTGTTTCACATGATTGATTATAAGAAAACGTGATCGACTATAAAATTGTAAAATTTTCAACTTCAGAAAGTTTTTTCTATTTTATTATATATATGAATATATTCAAAAAATTCATACAAATAAAACACTGTCTCAGAAATTGAAGATTGTATGATTGGTTGCGTTCAGCAGAAAAAGCAGATCAGTGAGCGTTCGGTGATTTTTCAATATGATTGGTTCTTTCTTTTAGATCTTCGTTGAATCTAAATGTAAAAACCAATTATAATAAAGAATCACTGAACGCTCACTGATCTGTTTTCTCTGCTGAACGCAGTCATCATCATACAATTTTTTCTCATCGATATTATCGTTGCGTTCTAAGAGCAAGTAAATTTATAAAAACCACTTAATTATAAAATCACACTGAAGATTTTAGCATCTAATTAAGATGAAAAGAATGACGAAGAAAAAAAAGGAAAGTCCACAAGATTTAACAGAGAAAATGAAATTGACGAAGAAAAATATAAAAAATGTATTCCATAAGTGAATTATTACCCGTATTACAAAAAGTGCTATTTATACACATGTCATGAATTAATAAACGATGATCTATGTATGATGCAGTATTTTCAAAGATTACGCAGTATACACGATTCTATAGTATTCCTAAAATTCAATATCGCATAGTTTTATGATTGTGTCTTGTCAAAGTTATAATCTGATATAAACAAGATAATTCGGTATCATAAATTGTTTCCAGTCGAGTATTTACATTATAATACATTTTTCCATCCTATTTTATCCTTTAACTATTTGAATAATTATTAAGTTGCATTTAGTATAAAGTTCTGTTGTTAATTGATGCATATTACATGCTATGATTTGTCTTTGAATTTTTTTGACATATCTTTGTCGAATAGCTTTTTCATACACGTGTCGCGAAATATTGCAAGATCTTCCGGAAAAGTTTTAGCTACAAGTTTTAATGTTAAATCTGGCCATTGTGGTTCTGAATATGGTGTTATATCAAGCTCTTCAAACGAGCCATCCTCCGTTCGCATAGCTAGACCCAGAGTTACAGGAGATGATGCTTGTGCCGATAGCCAATTTATTTCGTATTCAGACAAAGGTGCAGTATCCTCAGATAGTATAACATGTTGTTCAACATTTTGTTCGGATATAGACACGACAGTTAGTTGCTGATCTTCCGGTGATATCTTAAATATAGCTATAAGGCACATAGTTTCAAATATTAATGTCTCTAAATAATAAATAATTAGTAAGTTATAACGAATGACATGTCAAAAATAGATTTGTCATTATATATTCTATCTTACGGAATACATGCGCCTTACCTTCGATCATTTTCTTAAGCTGGAGAACTGTAGTATTCTCTAACGCATCGAGATGCAATGTTGTTTTCTTTCGTCTGACTACTAAGTATACTTGACTATTGTGTTCAAGTTCAAGCATATTCTCATCAGTTGATTTCGGATCACTTGGTCCAGGATTATTTGGTCCAGAGTCATTTGGTCCAGGGTCATTTGATCCAGGGTCATTTGGTCCAGGATCATTTGGTCCAGGATTATTTGCTTCAGGAATTAGTTCAGCAAAAAGAAGCTCCTTAAGACGCTAAAAAGATTTTAAAGATTAATTAAGCAGAAAGCGAAAGCATTTGTTAATTGAATGAGATATAAATTGGATTGTAAACTTACTTTCATTATATCCAACTATATAAAAATTTGATACAGCCAAGATTAATATGTTTCTCTTAGGATAACGATTGAAAATTATATTTATATTACTAGATCTCTGATGGTAGATATAATATATAACACACGATCTATAAAATATAATAAATAAATTTATATGTAATAATTCTTGACAAATACAAAAAGTTATTTACAGAATACAAAAGTTATGTAATGTTAACAAATAGTTATTTACTAACAAATCTAAAGATAATAAACTTTAAACTTATTCTTTACAAGTCTTTACTTTTTATATTTTTCTTTTTTTATTATATTTAATTTTTTTTTTAAGTATTAGTTCAACTATAAAGAAATATATCTCTATTGTGTTATTGTTCGCATTCAAGATTAAATATCGCTACATTATATTCTTTGGAAATTAATAAAAATCTAGATAATAAATTCTACATATATATTCTAAATCTTTATATTTCGCTTGTATTTTAGTAAAACGGTCATTTCTTCCTTTTTTTTAATATTTTTCTTAACATTAATGTCACATCACATTGCCACATTTAAAACTAAACATTTGCATTTCATAAGAAAAAAATTTGTAAACACATTCGAAAATCTACTGTTTCAATGATGGTATACGGAAATATTTAATATGGCCGAAGAAAGGATACATCTAGAATAATCTAGATTTAGATGTACAGAAAAAACGAACGTGCATCCATAAATTTCAATATCAAAAATACTTTCAAATCATGATCAACCGATGTGATCAATAGCGATTTCGTAGCGATTACAAATGTTTCATATTACATATTACCTCCGTTAAAAACAATTGAAATATTGGAATTACCTTCTATTCGTTGTGCGTCGATTGTGTATTTTTGGCTTTCTAAGCTATTTAGATCATCTTTCACCTATTTTCTGAAAGAAGAATAATGTCTCCGAGCGCGTCAGTCGTCAAAAGAAAATTACCGATTAAACTATTAAAACCTGTAGTAGTCTAGATACCATGAGCAACGACAGCCAATTAACCGTTCCACAGGAGACAAGAAAGTCAAATTTTGGAGAAAATAAGGATTCATTGGCGCCGACGCGCATATCCACGTGCATGCTTTAGCCACTCTGAAGTATACCGCGCTTTGTTCGATACGTCAAGAGTTATGTGGGAGAGGATGATGTGGCCAATCAGATTCGTTGCCTTGTTTCTTTGTAATGTAGTGTACTTTTTATACCGAAGACAAAACGGATACATCATTCGACACTGGAAGGAAAGGGGAGGAAGATGGAGAGATCTAAAGCTACATTCATAATTTGATCTTAAATTCAAGATCATCTCGAGCTGCGTAATTATTTCGTTAGCTAAATTAAATTTTAAGACCATCTAAAATCAGATTTTAAATCGATGATGTTAAATTTAAAATCAGATTAAATGATAAAAAGCATTTTAAGAATGTGGTATTCATAATTCAATCTTAAATTAAAGACGATCTTAAATTTAAAATCGTTTTAAATATATATGAAATGTTATACGATATCATTTGATACGATTTCACCTAACTCAATAAAATACATGAAATTAGGCTTAAAAATTAAAACTCGGACTGTATGAGTCTCTCTTTATATTCTTTAAATAAACCTTTCATAAAAGTGAAAAAGGCGCGAAAGACGCTCACATGGCCAGTGATATTAATATTGTATTTAGATAGACATTTCGTACATATCTGTAAATTAAATAGTACGAATTAATATTAAAAATATTGAAAGCAAAAGTTTTTGATATTTGTACAGAATAGCAAAAACCGTGAAAAACCGATAGAAGGTTAGAAGTATATTGATATATACAATTTATATATAAATATAAACGGATAATATCGCGAACAAGTTTAACGGAAAATAACAATAGAGAAATAATTAAAAGTTAATTATTAGGTAAATTTTATTTTAATTTAATTATCTCTCAATGATTCCTGAGTTTTTATAGCAATTTTAACCTATCACATATGTAATATGTGGTAATGTAAATAAACATTGTGTTAGATTAGGACCATCAATAATATTTTCATAAATTCTTTTTATATGTATGAGATATATTTATAATAATCCATGTTTAATTCTTATTATATATAGGATAATTATTAATAATGATGGATACCACTAATGCATCTAATAAAGACTTACCTTTACGATATGAAGATGAAGATTCACAAGAATTTAAGAGACAAGAAGCACAATATGAAGATTTGACTGATACTTTTGATGATAAATTAATTGATTTCTCAAAGCAGTTCTGTAGCATCTATGCAGCACGACTGGCAGAATTGAGAGAGACATTGGAATCACGAGTGGTTGCAAAATGGGGTAAGCACAATGATTATCTTGAAAAAATTTTATTTTAACAATTAAAAGTCATATATAAATATTCTGTAATTGTGACTGTAAAATTGAAAAAGATAAAAGTTTGATTGTTTATCTTTCCTTCAGGAAAAGTTCAAATATTAAAATTAGCAGAATTGGAAGACTTTGAAGGACAAGAATATGTGATAATTGGTACGCTTTATAAACATCAAAAATGGAAGCCGTCGATATTACATGAATTAAGCGATGATCATCAACTTACATTACCTGAACCGAGATCAAATTATTGTTCAGAAAAGGATCAACTTTTCCTAGAAGATGAGATGTTACGTATCAAACTGGTGGTCGATGATGCAGATTTGAAGAATTACGTTACAGGTGTTGTATGTGCACTTTTAGGCCATAAGGATAGAGACGGTAGCTTTGAGGTAAACATGCATTAAGGAATTAAAACTTCATATATAACGTATGTACTTATTTATATATTCGACATTTTATTTAGATTAAAGAATGGTGTTTTCCTGGTTGTGTGCCTAAAAGTTTACCGATACAGTCAAAATCTAAAGGAAAGTTAGTATTCCTATCTGGTCTCGATTTGGCAAACAGTTCAAAAAACTTATCATTAAGTCTTTTAACAGAATGGATATGTGGAATGGCGGGAGATATAGCGGCGCAAGAAGATGCTACTAACATTACTCGAGTTATTATCGCAGGTATAAATTGAATTTTTAATTTCCAATTGAGTAATCATTACGTGATCCATTTTCATGCTTCAGTATTGTATTCTGTATAGGTAATTCCGTTAAAATCGTCACCAAAACAAATATGTTGATGGGACATGCCGAAGGAAAAGCGCAGGATGCTGCTATAACGAAGGAAATCGCCGGAGCAACAACACTCGTAGATAAATTTCTCGCCGAAATAGCAAAATGTTGTTGTATCACCCTAATGCCAGGTCAGCACGATCCCACCAACGCAATGCTGCCACAGACACCGCTGCACCCGTGTATACTACCACTAACGTCTAGGTATTGTGCAAATGTACATACGGATTATAATAGATATACATTCTGATTTCTCAATAAACAAGATAAGATTACAGCTCTTTTGAAGCTAGAATTGAAAAAGTTTTTCTCTATCATTGCGTAGAAAAGAATATAGTTTAAAAAGCTTTTGCTATCTTTATCTTTGCTATCTTTGCTATCTCTTATATAACAATTAAATTAAGTCTAAGTAAAAAAATTTTACAGCAATAGTAATAAATCAACATACGTATACAATTAAATTTAATTTTCAAAATTTTTTGGAGCCATTTGTTTAAATCCATGTGCAAATGTAATCGAAACAACGTGACATTTTGTAGATATCGAAGTTTCAAAAGTGCGACTAATCCGTGGATCGGTAAAATCGCTGATCGTATAATAATTGGTAGTAGTGGTCAACCTATTGAGGATATTATAAAAGCAACCGGTGAGACGAATCTTTCTTCTTTAGACTGGTTGGAAAAAACACTAGTCTGGAAGCATATGTGCCCGACTGCTCCCGATACTTTACCGATATACCCTTATTCGATGAAAGATCCATTTATCATAAACTACTGCCCGGATATATATTTTGTGGGTAACACAGATACAGTCGAAACAAAACTGTGGAAAGGTAAAAAAAAAAATGTCATAAAAATAAATATTACATTTAAATCAATTATACTATGTTTTAATTTAAAGAACTGTTAAATACGAAACATTTATATATAATACACGTGATTAATACAATATTAATCTAAATGTATTTAACATTTGTAGGTGAAGAAAATCAGGTGGTTAGATTAATTTGTATTCCAAAGTTTTCCTCTACACATACTGCAGTTATAGTGGATATAGAAACTTTGGAAATCGAATTCATTTGTTTCGGAACTGGATGAATATCTAATTGAATTTACGATTTATCTGAATATAGTTTGATAAAAATAATTAATCTGATATGACATTTTTTATCGTGTCACTGTCCTTAATATATATTTTTCTACCATTACTGTATCATTCTTTTGCATAATATATTTGTATAAAAATTTGAAAATAAAAACATAATTTTGTATAATTATATATTTGTAATATTGTATTTTGTAATGATAGATTTGTGTCTTTTTTTATGTACAATTACTCTTCAAAATATATATTATATCTGTAATTATTTATTAATTTCTGTAAGTTCACACATTAAATATTCAGTAATGAAGATATTTGAACTAAAATTTGAACAAGCGTAGATCGTAAACTGTTCGAGTTATTTCACAATATTGGTTAATAAAAATAGAGATGCTAAAGACAAAAATGCGCATATAAATGAATGCATGATTGAAAGAAAAAACAATTTCCGTTGTCACCTATTTTTATTTGCATCTCGTAAAAGTGATATACAAAATTGAAACGCATGCGACTTTTTAAGAATTCGTAGACATTTGCCTGGTTATAAAACTTTTAATACGAAAGAAAATACATGTGTAGTATCACAGACTATTAGAAAATCGCGAAATCACAGTGACACAAGACTTTATTTATATGAACGCTTAAATTAACAAATGAATTATATACTTCACAAATTATACCAATGATAAGAACATAACAGTCAAAATACAGAGCATCAGAATTTAACTAAGAACAATTTCTTCAGTATTAGCAATTTCTGTTCTACTTCAAATTTTCCACACACTATGTCAAGAATATCCTCTATGATACACAAATTTACATTTCCATTATAATTTTAATTTTTATCCTTACCTGTATATAATAGTGATATCTTAAGACACGATTCGGTCACACGTATGAAAATTAAAACAGAATTGATCTAATTCTAAAAAAATAATTTGTGCTTAAAGTAACTGATTTTGACTGTTACATAAATTACGACGTTTGCGAAATTAGGTGCAAGAGTTATGTGACGAAGAATATACAAGGATTTAAATACAAGTTTCGACATAATGGGTAAAATCGTAATATACATTTAAGCATTTTTAATATTAACAGTTCTCGTAGAGTATGTCACGCAGGCTGGCGGTGTATTCTCTCTCACAAAATAGAAAAAGCACGTATATATTGGAAGGTACACAGTGCTACAAAATATTTCGATTGGCACTTTTATTTAGAGTGAAGAGCTCCGATCGTAACATAAATACAGTTTTGTACAAAAACCGCTGTCATGAGATTCCAGATAATTAATACTATCTACTATTTATGTAACAGAGCAGGAAGAAAAATCAGTAATGCGTATAATCCTAAATATAATATGACGATCATAGAGTTCTAATGCTTTGGCCAAAATAGCAATACTTAAAAAAAGCAATAATAATTAATTAAGGTCTTTCCATTAATTTAAGCAGAGAGAATGAAGTTATAAAATTTATATTTATAATACACTTTACAGGTTCATAATTAACTTAAAGTGCAATGTTACATGAACCGACAGGTATATATATAACAATTGACAGGTAGCTTCTGCATATAGTAACGACGTAGACATACTGTATACTTATTAAGAGTTTTATATCCTATCTCTTAGCTGTCGGACGTATTCTCTCCTTTTCAGTATCCCTATCGTCAGCTACCGTCCACTCAGGATCATTGGGATCCTCACCATCTATGTCGCAACAAGCCGATTCGGTCGAATCCGACTCGGGAGAATCCATTTCCGCTTCCTAGAAACGTACAAACACAAATGGTTACATACGACCGTCAACATCAGCGATCACCTACATTCGGTTAGTCGCTTTGCGAATAAACTCTATTCAAGATTGCAAGCTCTCATACAGCACAGCTGCGTGAACCAAGGAGCAAAACTAGAGTCGTGTAAAAGATTCTATAATGCATATAGAAAGTAGATAGTGATCGCTTTAACTTAACAAGATACTTTTTTTTTCTCGTTACAGATCTGCTAACTGTGTGTGTCTATGTGTATGTGAGATGAAAAATAAAATGAATTACGTTACAGAAGTATAAAGCGTCAAGTGGTACTGCTTACCGGAAATAGCCTCGAGAGGAGCCATGAAAATTGGCTCAAAGTGTATTATTAATAGTCAGTACTAGCACCCACATACATTTTATATTCATTAAAATTTCTCACTTAAATATTCGATGCAACGAGTATTCAATATAAATATAATGTACGTACATCATCGCCCTTGTCTTCGTCGCGGGAGCATAAAGATGTCGATGATGCTTGCCAGTGTCCATCCGGCATCACTTCCAACATTTTGTCGTAGACCTCTTCGGACAATGGGAATACTCTTGGTTCATACGGCAATATCTGTACGAAAATTCCAAAGGAGTGATTATAACATCACGTGATATTTATTTAAACGATACGAGATATGCGTACTCACCTCGTTATCGTCTTCAATAAATGCGGTCGTGGCATCGTCTTTCCCAAGCCTTAAAGTGGGCATAGTGCGACGTCGTAAAGAGTTTTGTAAAGCAGACGGTCGGTGCGAATCCAAACCTGATGACTCTGTGTCCTGCACCTGAGACGGAGTGGCAGGTGGAGACGTGATTGGGGACGTCACGTCTCCACCAAAGTCACTGCTCGCGTGCGGCGACATAGGATCTAAAATTCAATTTTTTTTTCTCCATAAAGATAAAATTCCATTACATTAATCTGACGCTTTAAATATCAAAAAAGCTTAACAAATATTTTAAGAGATAAATATAAATAAATTAATATAGTTATAAGTCGTAGTAATGTGATTAAAAGTCACGATTAAATACATCACAAAATGACAAATACCTGGTGTATTCGCACCACTGTCTGCTCTGCTATCGATACGACGATTATGACGAATACGCGGTTGGTTTGGCATGTTGAGATACGTCATGAAACGTTTGTATTCCTCGCGTTCACTACGCTCGTGCCTGAGGGCGATCGTTTCGTCCGACATGTCTTCAAACTACATAGAATTACAACATAGTGCGATCATTGAATTAACATAGTTAAAAAGGGAAAATATTACATTATTTTATTTTACCAAGTTGCTTTTTATTGCATATACACTCTTATTATTTACTTACATCACTATCTTGACCAGGCCTATGCATCACACCATTCTTTACATCCATTTTCGAGGGCTCCTCACATAATCTCCACCTTTAATAATAAGAACAATCACATTAAATTAAGCTTATTTGAAAAACAAAAGCACGGAGCAACAAAAACAAGATATAGATTATATAATATCTTACTTTGGTGTTAAAATCTCCTTATATTGTAACTTTTCAGGCCTAGTTGAGGCAGCGACACTGTAAGGGATGACTATATTGTCGATATCGTACGAGTTTTGACGCAAACGCCTGAAAAACATATCATAAGTGAGTCACGGATAGTAAAACGGCACTTTAGCCTAATCTTTTTCCTGAATCGACGGCGATAACTAACGATTTCATGAATAGGAAACATAATCCTCCATTTCATATTCTCAAGTGCTCGCACTTTGGATTATGAAAAACTTCACATGCGGGATTGATATAGCGATCCCGTTAATGGAAGCAACGCAAGCAATTGATGCGCAAACGTCACTCACCCATGTGAATTGGAACTTTTCTCTTTAACAACGTTTTTCTCCGACGAGGCAGTAACGTGTTGCAATGGAGAAGGCACTGGGGATGAGTGTTTGCTGGAACTTGAAAGCGCACTAACGTCGTCGTCATCCTCAGTTGGCAACTTCGATACTTTTTTCTTGCCCAATCCAGGCACGCTTCTCTCGTGACTGAGTCTATTTCTCTTTCCATTTTTCAACATTTTTCTCTTGATTCCTGTTTATAAGTCATACATTATTTCACATCGAGGAAAAAAAAAGAACAAACATTGGCCTTGCAGTGACTCATTCCTTTAAGAGGCAAGAACGATAGGTAGCAAAACGACGTTCTAGCGATACATACTTGCTGTAAGTATAGTCGAGGATGATTTCTTTAACCGCGCGGTATACTTCGTTCTGTTAGGAAGTTTCTTATTTCTTCTTTCGTTGCTATCTTTATCTTTTACTCGAGCAACTCGCAAATTGCCCCTCAACATTTTCTGCTGCCATTCCACTGATTTCATAATAGCTTCTAAATGTGTTCCATGTACAATTTCTACAATAAACAAAAAGATGTGAGACACAGCCAAAGAATCTTTCATTATTACTCGATTATTTTGAGCTTTCATTCAAATAATTGAACAACAGAGAGATAAGATTGTTAATGTGAATAAAGTATAAACTTTGTTAGACTATCATATATTAATACTGTTAATCCTGTCAATATTGAATAAAGCTCTAATTTGAGTGAACTTTTTTCTTTATATTCATGAGTAAACATACCATCAGAGAATGACAACACTGGATGAAAACTAGGATCAACAAGTGCTACACGTTCCTGTACAGAAAGCTGTTCAATTGGTTCTTGCGGCTGCATTGGATCTAGCCTTCCTGTACATAAAGCACACGCAGGCAACACATGATCACAATTGCATCTCACTGTCGACGCTTTAGCCGCACGCTTTGAAACTTCGTGTAGCCTGTCCACTTGCAAAAGCTTTCGCTTTCTATAAAAACTCCATACATATGGACGCGTCCTACTAGCTGGTAATTCACCCTCGGGCGAATTGTATCGTCCAGTGGAGCCTGGTAGAGCGCCACTATATCCATTAACGGTTTCCGCATTTTCGAGAACGACCAAGCCCTTCGCGGCTCTAATTTGCCGTTGCAAATCATTATGTTGTCTAATTCTGTACTCTAAATCTGATATCTGTGCCTGTAGCCAGGTCCACCGGGATGCTACACCCGCACGATCCTGTGCATATCTCCATGCCGCTCTTTTGGATCTGTGCAAATAACGTAACGATACGGTTGGCCTACTGATTTGCAAAATTAAAAATTATACGTTTAAAATTATACGTTGTGTACAAACAAATCAGTGTAGCCTATTATTTGAAAGGCGGAATGCCGAGGATGCTCAAAAAAGCGTAGATTCAACTAAATAAACAACAAATTGTTAATCGTCAATTTTATCGTTTCATTTTACAGAACATTTGACTCAA